GTTCCCACCCCGGGACCATGGGGGTTGCTTGTTTTCTGTTTTAGCCTGGTCTTGCCCCATCAGTGTCCTCCCCTGCCTCCCCCTCTGCTGGATGCCTTTCCTGTGCTTGGACTCAGTGGCTGACAGGTGGTTAGGGGGGACTGGAGGAGAAAATGTGGGCCTGCTGAGTGTTACAATAGGGCAGGCTTTGTCCAGGCGCCATGGTGCTTCTCCACTGACCTTGGAACTGAGTGACTGGGGACAACCCAGGGGAGGCAGTTTCCTTCCCTCTCTGGGCTGCAGGTTTTTAATGTCTTCTTTGTTGGTCTGGGGCCCTGGAGATTGAACTGAAGGGAGAGGCTTTGGGCTGCTCCCTCCCTCCCGGACAAAATGGTGCATGCTTTTCCTGTTTAAACAGGGCGCAGTTGTGAAGTGCCCTGACTTCGCACACACCAAGGCCCGGCAACGGCTGCAATAAATCAATAGGAAAATAGAAGCTGCCAGTTAGACTAAACAAGTGCATTTGCAAAGACGGCTAGCCCTCATTAATCACTCTGACAGTCCTAAAAACACATTTCCCCTTTAATGACTGTATTTGGATAATCAGTGCTTTTTCCTCCTCAGTCAGAGTTTGAGTAACAGACAGCTGGTGTTATTACAGCTATTGGGGAGGGAGTGCTGGGACTAGGGTCGAGGGAGAGCCATCCACTGGAGGTCTCCGCAAACGGGGCTGGCTGCAAAGCTGTTGTTATGCAATAATGAGAGGAAGCTTTGTACTGCCATTGATGGCTCCTGGGCGGCCATGTGCAAGTTCCCCCCAAACCTTGACACCCACCTGCATTATGTGAACACAAAAGCCTCATGTTGGGTTTTATGAGCCTTGGCAGATTTCACTGGGTAGGGGAGGCAGGAGTTTCTCTGGCAGGGAGGTAAGAAGATGGGTCCATGTGATCTGGCTTTGTTTCTTTTAGGTGACTTTGGCTTTCAGGAGAAAGTTTGAAACCCAGCACATTCCTCTTTATAAATGATGTAACACATTAATGCACAGCACATTATGAAAATGGTAATTCAAACCCATAGTGCTCCAAATTAAACCATACATTATCAGATGCACTCAACCATCTATTTTACAAAAAGACAGGATGAATGAAATCAAATCAAACAGAAAACTGGAGTGCAGCTTCCCCTACAGAATGATTAATAAAGTGCAGAGGACTATTTTAAGACGAATGCCACAGTAACGCAGACATACATTAGGAAGGAGTTAGTTCAGATACCGAGAGAAGCATCACAGGATGCTGGGTGGGGCAAGGCAGCTATGGCTGCCTAAAGGTAGTGAAGGGCTTTACAACCTCCACTTGGGCTACAGATTTATTAGGAGGTGGGTTTGTGGGGGGATGATTGGAAAGTTAAAAATGAACATCACGCAATTCTGTTTGTGTCGAACCTACGCTGAGGGTGAGTCTTTCCCCTCTCTCCTCCTCCCTTCCTCCCACAGCTGCCCACGAGGCCACAAAAATAACCAGCAAGAGGTGTGAAAATGTGACCTGAAGCCAGGAACGTCCAGTGTCTCAAGTTCCAGTTCCAGCTTCCACCCTTCCTGGGGCCTTAAGGAGCACAGGCCCCATTTCTGAGCCTGAGAGAGATTAGGAGGAAGAAGGGGAGGAGGGCTAGGACCCGAAGAAGGTGGGGAAAAAGAAGGTGGAGGTGATTCTCAAAGAAAAGAGTTGCTGGATGAATTAATTATGCGAATTAAACAGTTGGTGGGGAGTATTATCTCTATTAAAACGGCAAATTTTAATGAGAACTTAACTACTCAAAGTAACCAACTCCCCACCAGCTAATGAAAATGGCCACATTTGTTAGGAATGTCACCCATTTATGGTGGGGAGAGCTGACATTTCAGGGTGAGAACTGGGACACTCCGGACACAAGGCCCACCCTTTGTTGTCATTCTTTCTGGTCTGAGGTGTGTCTAACCCGCATTCTCAAACCTCACTGTAAGCCAAGCAACTACAGAAAAGCTTCTTTTGCTATATGGAGAGTTTGCTTTCAGAGATGCTGTCTTTCTTTTTTTGGTCTCCACAAGAAGAGGCTGGTAGTACTTAGGGAAGGATGTCTGAAGACCAGAAAGTTTAAGAAAGAAAAGTTTCAGTCCCCCTGCAGAGGGAGCAATTTCCACCAATTTTAGCAGGAGTGGAAAAGGTACTTAAGAAAAGAGGGCAACTTGAGAGAAAGGGAAGATGGGAAGGAAACACCAACAGAGAAAATGGGAAGGAAACAAAACAACAGAGAAAAAATTAAAGCAAGTCAGTACATTTCAGGTCTTTTAAAGATTCAGGCCAGTGTGAACTCTGAGAAATTGGATAATGACTCCCCAGGAAGAGCCTCAGCTGGTTGCAGGGTGACTTCTCCAGCCGAGTCAGCCTTTCCCTGACTCAGTCTCCCTGGTGCCCAGGGATGCCAGCAGCCCTGGTCCCTTCCCTAGGGACAGGCTTAGGGTCTTAGGGTGGCCAGCACCCACAGTTTCTGCAGAAGAAGGCTGAGGTTCTTTTGACTAACGAAGGAATTTTGCCCAGGAACAAAGATATAGGTGCACCCCTCCCCCCCATCCCAAACTCCACAAAAACCCTTATGCCAGGTTCTGTCAAGTACGGAGGGGGTGGCGCCGAGCGATGCCAAGCCCTGTGCTGCGAGTCTCTGGCATCCCTCCCACCCCTTCTGCACTTGACTCGGTCTACAGATGTTTCAGAAGCACAGTTTGCAGAGCACGAACTGCCCAATACGTCTCATTCCTCAGAAAAAGCAAAGCAAAAGAACACAACAGCAACAACAACAACAGATCCCAAAGCCGCGCGGTGCCGACGCCGAGGAGTGCAGCCAGAGGGGGCGAGGAAGACCATTCTGAAGAGGATTCAACAGGTGACCCCGCACTGGCGTCCTGGGCGCAGGGGTCCGACAGCCGGGACCTGAGCAGGGCGGTCTCGGCAGGCGCTCCCCGCCACCCTGGTCACCCCGGGAGGGGGCCCCGCCTCCTCCCGCAGCCATTCATCCTCTCCTCTGGCCTCGGGGATTTCCCGTGCCTTGGAAGGGGCCCGACCCTCGTCCCACCATCCTGCTAAAAGCACCCTACCCTCGCCTGCCCGGGGAAGAGAAGTCAGTGTCAGTTGTACGAGATCAAGAAAACAGGGACCCAGAGTGGCTTCAAGGTACCGAGTAATCGCCTCGTCTTCTCAGCAAAACCCAAACCCGGTTGATAAGTCTGGGATCGCAGATGACTGGGGTGGGCAACCCGGCGCTGACCTTGGGGAGCCTCCAAGCATTGCAAAGCACCCCTGTCAGCAGGTGCATTTACCCTTTGGTTTCTAGTGCATAAAGGCATTGTCAGGAAGGAAGAGACCCTCGGCATTTAGAGTGGGAAGCGCTTAAGGGGCCGTCGGGGCTGGCGCCAGTAGCTGTCTGCCACCAGGTGGCGCCAGAGGCACGTCGTCTTTGCTCACCCTTTAGGACTGGGACTGGGCTGCCAGGAGCCCGCTTAAGCCCTGGGTGCTGGTTCCCTTCACAGACCCTCTACCTGGATCTAGGCCCAGAGGAAAATCCACATTTACACACTCTCTCCACCCTGTCCCCACTCTGTCCCCAGGAAATGTCAATGTCCTTGAAGTGAGGCTGGGAGCAAAATAACCAAGTGGAAAAAAAATAAAGGTGGTTTTATGTTATTTGTAATGCATTGGCAGTTTTTTTTCTCCCTCTTTTCTCAAGGAACGGCATTAAACTTATCATTGAACAGAAATATGAGAAGGAAACCATAGGTATTCTAAACAAGAATAAAGGAAGGGCATCTGCTTAGGTATCTGGAAGTGGGGCAGTGGGTGAGGCAAGAGAGAAACACACCACGGTGTGAATATAGCCAAGTATTTCATTTATTAACAAAATAAGTCTTACCAAGGGAGAGCTCTATTCATCCCAAATAGGCCCCACAGCCCCGGCGATGCTGCATAAGACCAGGAGGAGGGACGGTGTGGGGAGAAGACCCAGGGCCTGAGTCTTCAATCCGTCACTTAGGGAGCCCAACTTTGGGGAATCTGTTGGGTCAGGCCTGGGAAAGGGTGAAGGGGGCTATTGTGATCTGTGTGCTCCCTTACTGTCCAACCTTCCCAATGGAGCTAAAAGGTTGTACTGCCCGCTGATAGTGCCACTGGTCTGCTTTGGAGGGATCTAGCAAGGATCACTGACGCCACCACCCACCGCCAGGAGAGGGGCCACTGCCCCAATAATGGAGAGAAAAACAATGACTATAAAAGCACTTTGCAAAATATAAAGAGCAAAGTTCCATGCCAGCAAGGCCTTCTAGGACTTTTAATTGAGTAAGATGAGCCCTGCAGGCCCCCCACCAGCCGGCAGTGTGACCACTAGGTATTTAGGGCCAGGGAGTCTGGAAGTAGAAGGGCTCTGTCCGAGGCAACTCCGGGCCCCTCTCTCAGGGCTCTCAGTGCTCAGAGAAAGGTAGGGGAGAAAGGCTCTAATTTTGGGGGCCAGAGCAAAGACCAGGGACCCTAGGAGGAGAGGGTTGCAGGGGAGAAGTCACAGAGCAGAGTTCTGGGTGAACAGAGGCAGGACCTTCTGCCACAGAGGAGATGACCTTGCATCCCCCAAATGCCTTACAAAAAATATCTCCTCTCTGTTACTTGAACAAAGGTAAAAACAGAACCTCAAATGGAAGGAAATGAGGGGATGAAAGGGGAAAGGGGAAATGTAGTTTTAATGATTAAGAAGCATGCAAGAAACTCCCCAGGAAGGGAGAACAAAACAAAGAACCCCAGAACCCCAACTCTCCCTCTTCCCCTAAAACCAAACCAATCAAAACAAAACAAAACAAAACAAAAAACAAACAAAAGGAAAAAAATTAAAACATATCTAAGAAAAAGAAAAAAGGAAGAGGGGCGGGGAATATGTAGTTACTTGTGTGATTAATATTATTTGGGGGAACACAGACTTCTTGCATACCATTGACTCGTGTGGGCCGTTAATGCACTTATATTCCCAGCTTGTAAGCTAACATTATAGTAAATAAATACACAGTCCAGTGGGGAGGGTCTGGGCGGGGAATCTGGCAGGGACAAGCAGTAGTGGAGGTTGCAGCGGCCAGGCCAGGAGGCTGGGGCAAGGGGGGAGGGTCGAGGAGGAGGGTAGGAGGAAGAGCTGTAGTTACTGGTATCCAAGCGCGGAGGCTGAGGCTAGTCTCTGTCCGTACAGCGCATACGGTGAGTAGTAGGGTCCGGCTGTGGGGAGGGACGGCATGGCCAGGCCCCCAGCTGTGGATAAGTGGCTTTTACCATAGGGGTGGTACCGGCTTAGCCCCAAAGTGTGTGGACTCCGCAAAGACAGCGACCCGGGGCTGCCCGGGGCTGAGGGAGGGGGGAGGTGCAGATGGCAGGAGGCAGCGGCGGCAGCGGCTGCGGCGCTACCCAGGCCTGAGGCCCCAGGGTAGGCGGCCAGAAGTTTCTCTGCGCCCGGCAAGGCCGTGTGAGTCCGTAGGTGGCTGAGCAGCTCTTCTGAGGTGGCAAAACGCTTGTCGCATGGCCCGCTGGCCGCTACCCAGTTGCAGCTGTGCGGCAGCGGTTCGTTCTGCAGCATGAAGCCATAGGTGTAGAGGGGGTGGCCTGGGAGCGCGGCTTGGGCGGCGCTGGATGAGAGCGCGGCGGGCTGCAGAGGGTGCCCGGGGTACACCAACGGGTAGCCCCCGGCCTTCAGGCTGGGCCCAGATGGGTCATGCGCACTGCAAGTGGAGCAGCTGGAGCCCCCGAGGTGTGAGGCGCTGTGGTAACCTCCCAGGCAGTAGGGGTCGCGGCATAATCCCTGCAGGAAGGAGGGTGGGGAGGCCCCAGTGAGTGGGCTTGAGCTGGGGGGCTTGCCTGGTGGCAGGCCCAGGCCCCCGGACAGCTGGCCTCCCACGAGGCCAGACTTGCTAGGATCCAGGCCAGGCACGAACTGAGAGGGGTAGCCGGCGTAGGCGCCCACGATGGAGCCGTGGTAGCCAATGCTGGAGGGTGGCAGCGGGAAAACCGAGTGGCCTGGTTTGTAGGGTGACACCGGCGCCACGTGGCCGGCCCCTACCAGCGCTGAGGGTGGCTCCGACTTGCGCCCAGAGGCCCCGGCTTCTGCACCACCGCTGTGTGTGCCAGGCTCCCCGCTGCTCCCGCGGCTCACGGACACAGCCTCCGGGCTGGGCTTGGGCTCCTGGTCTTTCTTGTCCAGCTCTCCGCTGGTTCCGTTCTTGCAGTCAGAATGGTGCGGGGAGCCGCCCCGGGAGCCACCAGGCGAGGACGAAGACGACGACGCGGAGACCGGCGCTCCATGCGGGGGAAAGGGCGTACAGGCGGCGCTGGGGACCCTGAAGCCCGCCTTGTCTCCTGGGGACAACGAGGATGAGGAGGAGGTGGAGGACACAGAGGATGAGCCGCTGTCTTTACGGGAGTCGCCGCTGGAGCCCTTAGAGTAGGGCTTGAAACTGGACTTGTCTTCCACCGGGGAGTCCCCTAGCTGCTTGAGCGCCGCAGATGCGGAGGCAGCGCCCGAGGTGGAGCGACCGGGGTCCTTATCTGCTCCCAGCCCGTTGGCTGCCGCTGCCACCGAGTTGAGCTTGGAGGAGGGCGGCGGGTCCGGCTTGCCGATCTGCGAGCAAGTCTGGGCCAGCAGCGCCAACGGACTCTTCTTGGCGTCCAGCTGTGGGAGACAGAGTCAAGAGGAAGGTGAAGGAGCGACACTACAAGACCAAAGAAGCAAGTGGGGTAAGTGGGGGTGCCCAGGGAGCTGGGTAGACACTGAGAGCACCAGTGGCGGCGGAGAGGGAAGGCCGTAGGGAGAAGTCTGAGAGCGCCCGGTGGGCGGCGCAGCTGGGCAGAACTGCACTCACACTGCCTTTCCCCGGTTGGTGGGATTCCTCGCTCCACTGGGACCCCGAGTGCGCCGCAGGCCCTGGGGAACGGGGCGGTGGAAGTGGTCCACCAAAGGCCACCGAGGGTGAAGGTGACTTCTGTGAAGTCGGGGTTGTAACTTGCCCCCTTCCCTCTAATCTTCCCCTCCTCTAAGCCCAGGAAAAAACTTATTCCTTCAGTTTGGGGAACTTCGCTTGGGACGGGTTTCCGGCAGTGGCGCAGCGGGGTAAAAGCTGGGAAAGGCACATTCTAAGCCGGGGCGGTCGCTGGAGCTCTTAGTAGTCCCTCCCTCCCGGGGAGGGCACCCAGGGAAGTGGGAGGAAGAAAGACCTGGGATCGGGAGTGCCTGGGCGTCGTGCGATCCAACCGGATGGGACAGACGCGGAGTGGGACCGGGGCGACCCGGGATTCAAAGAGAACACACCCGGGGGCTGGTGGTGGGTGGGGGCGGGGCGGGAAGGACCCAGGAAAAATCGTCTCTGGCCTGGAAACTGGGTGCCAGGAAAAGTAAAGGACCTAGTGGAGACTCCAAGAACAAACCCAGTCCGAGAGAAAACACGTAGCTCCGAAGGGCAAGCGTGGAAGGGGAACCTTCCACGAAGAAGCATGGGGAGAACCGAGTGGGCTCTGATCTGTCCGTTCTCGGTTCCTCCCCATACCGTCCGCTAGTGTGGCCAGACCTGAGCGTCGCGCCTAGCCACGGGGTCCCGGGAGTAGGGCCGTGGGCCCGGCAGTGGTGGGCGGAATGGGGACGGCGCTGGGCGGGCAGAGACCAAGACACTGACCTCAATGGGGCTGACGGGAGTGGAAGATAGCGGCTGCAGGTACTCCGGATGCAGGAGGTGGCCGGTGTGAGCGCTCAGCATCTTCAGGACCCTGATAGGGAGCCGGTTCGCTTGGCGCAGGGGGTCCGCCGGGGGCAAGAGGGACACCGCCGCCGGCACCGCCGGCCTCTTCCCGCCGCCGCCGCTGCCGCTGCCGCTGCTTTCGGGTGTCCTTGGGTTAGATCCAGCGGGCGAATCGCTCATTTGGAGGAGGCAGCGCCACTGGGGGGGCGGGGAGGGAGGGGGAGCTCCGGGGAGGCGAGCTCCCGGGCCGGGTGGGCTCGCTCCGCAGCGTGGAGCGCGGTGCAGTAGTCGCCGCGCCTCCACCCCTCCTCCACCGACGCCGCCGCAGCCGCCGCCGCCACCACTAGCCGGGATAGCAACACAAAAACCTTCGTCTTCCGCGAGCCGCACGTCAAATAGCCGCGATCGGCAGCCACACTTCAAAGGGATCGCCGCACCCGCCCAATCGCAGCTCTCGCCGGGACCCCGGGGCGGGGAGAGCGGCGGGCGGAGGCCGGCGCTGCCGGTGGGAGGGGAGAGCCTTAAAGGGCCCTCGCCCGTGCGCTGCCACCGCCTCGGCCTTTACCACCCGCTGTACTGCTCCCCTCCCCCAACCGGGCCACCCTTGCCTGGGGGGTCGCACAGAAGATGAGGCTTCTCCGGGATTCTGGGCTCTGCGCCCTACCCTACGCTGGCTTTCCTGTCGCTCGCTCCCCTCTCTTCCTTCACACTACCGGGGGCAGTCACCCTCCAGCCTTGCGTGTCTGGGGTGGGGTGGCCCGAGGTAAGGTGGCGGGTAGGAGCGCTGGGCGCTAGCTCCCGAACTGCCGAGTCCTAGCCTCTCCCGAAGGCCGTCTGAGGGCGGGCTGCGCCTCCTAAGCCCCGGTCCCTCTCCGGCCCAGCTCGGGCTCTGCTCGGGCTCTGATCGGTCCAGCTCTGCTCCCCGAATCGGCTTCTCCTGGGTGAGCTTACTTGGAAGCCCCCGAGCCTCGGAGGAATCCTTGGTTCTCGCGATGCGGCGCCCGCCGCTCCGACAACTTTGAGCCCATCCTGCCCGAAGCCTGCAAGTTTGAGGACCCCCTTCCGGGGCGAGACGGTGGCGTGGAGCGCGGTGATCTCAGGCTGTGCGCGCCACGCGGACGCGCCTGGCGCCTGGTGCCCGCGCACCGGTTTATAGGTTCGGGTTTGCGTGTCCTGTTCGGAGGCGTAACATTTCCTCACTGCACGGCACTTCGCTGCTCTCTTGTGGGGACCCTGGAGAGGCCAGTACCCCAGAGAATGTGGTCATCTCCCTAAGTGCTGCACGTCGATACAAACTCCCGAGAAGCGACCCCCGACCGCCAACCCTTTTCTTCCCGCGGGAGAAAATGCATTACCTCTCCCCAGGGAAATTTCGGAATAAAAACTTTGTATTAAAAATAACAACGCTCTCCTCTCCCCTTACCCACGTCTTTCAGAGTGTGCATTGCCAGCTTCGCACTCGGCAGAGATTTTACAGTCATAGTTCTGACATTAAAGTTCCGGGTCCGCGGATCACCAAGAAGCGAAGCTCGTCCTTTGTGCACCGGCCTCTGGGGAGACCGCTTCTCCGTGCTCTCCGCGGCCGGTGGAGGCGCGCTGGTCACCGCTTCGCTTCGAGTACCACTTTCCCAGCCCCAATCCATCACCCTGATTGTCAGGCCTGTCACTTGGGGCATATTGCTCCAGGACTAACTGTCCCTGACTCTGCTGCGTTGATCTGCGTCTTGAGACAACATGAGAACCCAAGATAGGTGATTTCAAAAGGGTTCTTAAAAGCGAAAGAAAGAACTATCACAGAAGTAAAAAAAAAAAAAGCAATCACGAACCTTTATCATGCTCAGGGAAGAAGACAGCAGGCACCATTCCCAGGCCGGTTCAATCAAACACTAAATTAAACGTACTCCTGGATCTGTGCTGTTTTTTTTTTTTTTTTTTTTGGGGGGGGGCAGTATGTATAGACCTAGAAATTCTACTGGTTTTCCCTACCCCAATTTAATCCTGGTAAAATCAGGTTAGAAGAAATTCCAAGAGATGCACGACTGGGAGATGTCTTCCATATTGCAGTAACGGGTACAAGAAGGGGTGGTGAGATCCCATTTATTGTGGTGGTTTCTATGCCCCCACCCCCAGCCTCTTCTCATGCCAGTCTCTGTGCATTCTGACATTGCTGCTAGTGCCAACACTACATTTAAAGGTCTACTGAAGGCTTGCTTCAGCCTTCAGGGCTGTTTGGCCTTTGGGAGACTGCTATGCAGAGAGAGAACAGAAGGAAGCCTTACAGAATGGAAGAGGATGGGCCTTTGTAGGCACCTTGGAGGAGGAAGAGCAGGGAAGGGGGAGACCTAGGAGGCAGTACAAGATGAAAGACCCCTTCTTGATTATTGTAACCAGCCCAGCTGTGAGAGCCAGCCAAGAAATCCTTCTAGGACCCAAGCAGATGTGTGTTAGGAGTGATTAATGGGAAATCAGTTGGGAGCAAAGGGGAGGGGAGAGAGGGAAAATATTTGCATTTAGGAATTTGGAAGGAAAAGGGACAGGAGGCAGCATAAAGGAGAAAGAAGAGGAATGGAGGAGGATAGAATATTTATTCTCTATTTGGAGAGGAAAAGAGAAGAAAAATGCAGTGAATGAATGAAAGGAAGGGAGGAGATGAGGACAGGATGGCCAGGCTTGGGGTGGAGGGTGGGGAATTTGCCTCGGTAATAATATATTGTCCTTAAACAGAAACTACTCCCTTATCCCACAGCAGAATTCACTGACAGGAACAGTGGGTGCCAGACAGCATTGAAGTAGAGACCAGGCCTATTTGCGTCCCCCTTCCTGGAAAGTGCTAGCAAGGGATCAGAGCCACCTTCCTTTTGGGTGCTGGTGAGGGCATTAGGGCCCCTTTGGCTGAATTCATCTAGTTGCCTTAGGAGAGAAAACGGACAACTGTACTAAGCCAGACCAGAGGCCTAATTAAAACACTACTAGGCAATTATTACAATCAGTATTTGACATTCACTTAGCTGAAATGCTAATGTACAGAATCCTAAATAGGGCCCTAGTGGCCTAAAGCAAGGGTAGTTTTCAAAGGAATGGCTTGTCACTGGGGAGAGAGTAAGACAGTACAGTATTCAGTTGGGCCAAGTTTACTGAGGGCCACTTGTGGGCAGAGCATTGTGCTATGGTTGTGGTTGAAAAGTCAATGCAAGACAATGTTGTACAGGAACAAGGCATATGGTACATGTTCTCCCTTGCAGAAAAGTGGCAGATGTATGATTAAGGGACCTCCCTCTCTCCAGACCTTTCTCAGATTGCCCTGTGATTGAGCAGCACCATTGAGATAGGACAGGAGTGAGGGTTGCTAGACTACCCAAGCCGTAGTGGTGAAGAACAGCAATTCTGTGTGTCAGGCAGTTGTTCTCTTTCCTATTTACAGCTGAAGAAAGTGAGGCATGGAGAGGTAGTCCCTTACTCAAAGTGGCATGACCAGGCAGTGGCAGAGTGGTCCCATGGAGCCAGGCCTCTGAACCACTCTGCTGTGGTGGTCCTGGGCAAGTTCACCTCCCTTGGCCTTGATTTTGTCGTGTCTAAAATGTAAGAGTGGCCACCTCAGGGGAGGCCCAAAGCAGACAATGTTTAGTGCTTGGCACAAAGAAAGTCCCAGGTAAATGAAGGCTGTGATGGGCCACCTGTGTCTGTGGGGCAATTTCTCCAGAGGACAGTCAACGCAGTAACTGGATCCAGAAGATCTCAACACTGGCAACCCCACTGGAAGACCCAAAGCTGACCCCAAAGGCCAGGAAACTGAGAGTTCCCTTCCCCCAGCCTCCAGTCACATGTGCCTTAAAAAAAAAAAAAAATGCCCCCCAGAAGCCATCAAGAAAATCCTTTAGGAAATTCTGAATATTTATAGATTTTTTTTTCACTACTTCAATTTACATAAAATTCACCACCCAGGAAAAAAATGCCTGAGTCAGGTTGAGAGCTAGAGGTGGTAGATTTGTTGTGTGGGGTTAATGTGGAGTTTTCAGTCCTCGCTGAGGCGGAATTGCCTGAATGATCGCCTCTCTCTGCATAACACTCACACCCTAATGGCAACAACATGAAATAATATCTCACTGGGTAACTATTTACATTTTTTTTTTTTTACAAGCTGTAAGAACTCTGAAAAATCGGCCTCATAGAGAACTTGGTTTTCCTCCCTGGCGTTCAATATCTTTCAGCGGCTGGCAATTACAGCCTTGGCCAGGAGCCCTGATGTAGTGCATTGCGCTAAGGGCACTGGGAGGCACTTCCTCCACAGGCCTCATCCCAGGCTTCAGACACAGCCGGGCCAGAGAGGGCCACAGGGCCAAGAGGAACCATCCGGTAAAAGCAAGAACAGCCAGCCTTGCAGAGACCACACTCCAGTAGCTCCCTCTTCTGTCCTCACAGTTCCTGATATGTTCTATTACTATACCTATCACAGGGCATCTGTCACTGTTTACTTGTCTATTCTCCCACTGGACGGTGACTGCTTCTGCATTGTCCTCGTTCTCTTTGTATTTGTATTGCCTAACTGGGTGTTTCACTATCATCATCACAGCAGCCAACACTGAGAGCCAAGCACTGTTGTAAGCACTGTGCTCACATTATCTCATTTAATCCTTACAGAAGCCCTAGCAGGGAGGTCCTGTCATTACCCGCGCCCCCCCCCCCGCCCCCCCATTTCACAGAGGTGGAAGTGGAGGCACAGGGAAGTTAAGTCACTTTCCCAAAGTCCCAGCTGGTAAGAGGTGGGGCTGGGATGTGACTCTAGGCGGTCTGAATGCCATAGGTTCCCAATGAATTTTGGTGAATGAATAGAATGTTACATATAAAGGGCTATTTATCTGTATCTCAGCTCACCATATTCCCCAAAAGATTCAAGGTGGACGACTATGTAATTTTCAAAATGTTAACTGTATAAGCATTGAGTATCTTTTCCCAAATACATGTTTGTGTTCATCATCTCATAACAATTTTTTGAGTTATGTCAGGCAGGTGTTTTTATCCCATGACAGATGAAGCACTGGGTTCGGGGAGCTTATGGGGGAGTCTAAAGTCACACAGCTAACACTGGCAGAGGGCCGAGAGGCCTTCCTAACTCCCTCCCTGGTTCCCTGGTTCTCCTATCACCAGCCATTGCCTGTGGATGGGTAGTTAATGCCTTTTGATAAAAGAGGAGGAATTAACTACTTTTCCTCCCTCTAGAATTTCCTTTGGAGATGTGGTGGGAAGGAATGGACAAAAGGAAATGTAGACTGAAGCTTATCTTCGAGCCCTGGTGTTTGATCCGGGTCCTTGAGTAGGGTGCTTTGAAGAAGTGATTTCATTTATCTCCTATCAGCCCCCGGGAG